ACTGTCTGTCTCTTTTCCTTTTTACTGTCTGTCTCCTTTTTCACTATCTGTCTCCTTTCTGCTGTCTGTCTCTTTTTTACTGTCTCCTTTCTACTGTCTCTCTTATACTGTCTGTCTCCTTTCTGCTCTTTGTCTCTTTCTACTGTCTGTCTCTTTTCCTTTTTACTGTCTGTCTCCTTTTTCACTATCTGTCTCCTTTCTACTGTCTGTCTCCTTTTGCTGCAGACTGAGCCAATAAGAACAGAAATTGATATACGAAAGACAACAGCGCTCGGCACGAAGGAGACAGGTATAAAATAAAACTATTAAGCAATCTCCTGTCTCTATATCCATCTATTAATAATGTTATTATAATTATATTCTTATAAAGCAGATATAAATAAATATATATATATACATATATATATATTGTATATATATCATAGTGTAGGTATATATGTATATGCTATTATGTAGTTTTATTATTATGCATGTACGTATGCATATATATATATGTATATATATTTCTTATGTATAAAAATAGATATACTTATATATATATATATATATATTTGTATGTATAAGTGTTTATGTATATACTTATATAAATACACGTCCTGCTCTTGTATTCTTATTGGGGCTTATAAAGGATTGCATGCACGACTTACGTTTGTTGCTTTGTTTGTTTTTATTTTTATTTTTATTTATTTTTATTTTTATTGTTTAAATTGCATTTGCTTGTTCTTGTGTTTGTGTTTTTGTTTTTGTTTATTTATTTTAATCTGTTTTAATTGTGCCAATTTATTTTAATTTATTTTAATTTATTTTAATTTATTTTAATTTATTTTAATTTATTTTAATTTTTTTTAATTTTTTTTGTTTGTTTTAATTTTTTTTTGTTTGTTTTCAGTTGCATGTTTAGTTGTGAGGCTGCAGCGCGTCTTCGGGCAGAAACCTCCGCTGTACGCTGCAGCAATAATAAAAATAAAAATAAAAATAAAGATAATATATGTATATAATTATATATAAATAAATATAAGTATACATAAACACATAAATAAGTTGAGGCGTATCTAATGAGCTAAAACAATAAATATATAAACGTACAAATAAGTAAATAAATAAACATATCTATAAATAAATGTTATTGTATAAATATATATAAATGTATATATATAAATATATATATATATATATTTATTTATATATTTATATATTTATATATGCATAAATGAACAGAGCAACATACATCTATATAAATATAAATATGAATACATAAATACACAACTATACAAATAAATATAAATATAAGTATAGATATAAACATAAATATAAAATATAAAATATAAAATATAAAATATAAATATAAATATTAATTCAAAGATAAATACACAAGTATACAAATAAATATATTGTTATTCATGCGCAGAAAAGACAGAAAGTCAGGCGAGGCTTTCGCAGTGTCTCCTGAGGCGAGGAGACAACGCAAAGAACAAACCGATGAGAACAAAGACAAAGAAACAATTAAAACAACAGAAGCAGGTCAAGAAGAAGAGACAGCAAAAGCAGCAGACACTGCTCTCAAAAAGGAGGGGCCTCAGCAGTACACAGCAGCAAAAGGAGCAGCAGCAGCAGCAGCAGCAGCAGCAAAAGAAGCAAAAGCAGCAAAAGCAGAAGCAGGAGCTAAGGGAGCCCCAGATGCGAAAACAGCAGCAGCAGCAGCAGCAGCAGCAAAGACTACAGCAGGTCCGAAGGGCCCCAAGGACGCAGCAGCAGCAGCAAAAGGAGCAGCAGCAGCAGGAGCAAAGGGTGGGGCAGCATTTAAACTATCACCAGCAGCAGCAGGAGCATCTAAAGAAGACGAAGCAGCAGCAGCAGCAGCAGCAGCAGCAGCAGCAGCAGCAGCAGCAGCAGGAGGAACAGGAGACTCTCCAAGGACAGCAGAACGAAGACATAGAGGTTTAGCTCTTCAAGAGGCGTTACGCATGCGAGGTCTGGGGCTGCGTCTAAGAGGAGACAAAGACAAGAAGAATAAAAAAACAAAACCTGAAAAACTTAAAGTGCGAGACGCCTTTAAAGACCCTGAGGTTAGACGAAGAGTAAATCAATTAATCGAAGAGGGGCTGTGGAAGCCCGGCGATGAACTCGAGTATGAACTCTTCCTTGACCCTCTTGCTGGGAATGCTGAGGGTAAGCATATTTTGTTTACTTGTTTGTTTATTTGTTTGTTTGTTTGTCTGTTTGTCTGTTTATTTGTTTGTTTGTATTTAATGCCTGTGTCTTTATCTATCTGTCTATCTATCTATGTATATATATATATATATATATTTATTTATTTATTTATTTATATATTTATGAGTACGAACTCTTCCTTGACCCTCTTGCTGGGAATGCTGAGGGTAAGTATATTTTGTTTATTTGTTTGTTTGTTTGTTTGTTTGTTTATTTGTTTGTTTATTTGTATTTAATGCATGTGTCTTTATCTATCTATCTATCTATCTATCTATGTATATATATATATATATAT